CCCTGGAGACAAATCCTTTATAAACCTCCACCAGCCAACTCCAGCTGTCACCACGGCAAAATCCACCACTTTGGCCTTGGGATGGAGAGAGAGTTCTTGCTGAGAAGTTGGAGCAAGGGAAATCCTTAGTTTCAAAATCAAGCCTGCAGGATCAGAACATACACTTCCAGGATGGCCTGGTCTGTGGGCAGTAAAGCATTAAGGTCAGGTACACCATGACCCCATTGATTTCCAAACACTCTTTGAAACATTGTCAGAAAAACATGTGGTCACAGGTATGGACAGAACCTGATAGAAGGAAGTTTTTCTTTTATTCCTGAAGCAACAAGATTTACAATAGCATCTACGTTTTGGGTGTACGAAATTCCTGCCTCCCCTGTCCTTTTGTCATTTCTAGTCCATATCAACCCTTTCCCCTCAACCCTTCACCAACAACCCCCCTTGGTAACCTCAGTTCTTTTTGAATATATGCAACAGATTGATTTTTTTCATTTAATATTTTAAAGAGATGTCATAACTTAAAGTAGTATAGTAGGAATGCTTTAGGCATGCAATGTTTCATCCATGCCATCACCAGAATGCCAAAATCCTGTCACTAATGTCCCCAAACTCCCATGACAGCACCTCCCCCACCCCTTGGCAGACTCGGTTCTTTGGCAGAATCTCGGGGTTTGTTTTCATTGCCTATTTGTTGCCTGTTTCCTTGCTTTATGTCTTTATACTCCACACATGAGACTCCAGGATTTATCTTCCTTCTCTGACCTGCTCTTGCTTAATGAGATACCCGAGGTTCCATCCAAGTAGTAGCAAAACGCAGTATTTCAACTTTTCTTATGATTGAGCAGCATTTCACTGGTGTTAATCTAGCACCATTTTCTTACTCATCTGTCATTGGCATTTATTTTTTTTCAGATGTTGGCTATAGTCAATAACCCTAAACACCGGTGTGCATATATCTTTTCAAATTTATGTTTTTATGTTCTTCTTTATGTTTAGGAGTATAAGTGCTGGGTCAGACATATGGAAGCTCTATTTAAAATTATTTTTAGATATATCCATGCTGCTTTCTGCTTCATAGAGGCTGAACCAGAAAAATCTTTCCATCAGAAGTGAATGAGAGCTCCTTCCCTTATTTCTTAAGAAAAAATTTTATTGAGGTTATGTGGTTCACAATGCTATTAATACTATTAATATTAAAATACTAAAACACTATTAATAATGGTTTCTCATTCTTTACTGCATCCTGCCAACTATGTTTTTTTCCAGACTCTGCTATATACATTTATACGCCATCCCTAGTGGTGTTAGATGAAACAACATTGTTGGTTTTTTTCCTTTTCTTTTTGGCTTTTTGGGCCACACCTGGCAGTGCTTAGGGCTTACTCTCGGATCTGCGCTCAGGAATTACTTGTGGTGGTGCTCAGGAAACCATATGAGATGCTGGGATTGAACGTGGGGTGGCTGCATGCGAAGCAAATGTCCTCCCCACTATACTATCCCTCTGGCCCCATGACATAGTGTTTTGATTTTAAAAATAATATGATTGGTAGTTACGATGAACACTCCTACTTGTTTCTCTTTGACCATCCGTACGTCTTCTTTGAGGAAGTCCTGCTTAGCTCCTCTCTCTTTTTTTTTTTTAAATTAATTAATTTTTTTATTTCGAATACCCATCCCTCCACCAGTGCCCATTTCCTACCACCACGGATCCCAGTATCCCTCCCTCCCCCCATCCCCCCATCCCACTCTGCCTCTGTGGCAGGGCATTCCCCTCTGTTTTCTCTCTCCTTTTGAGTGTTGTGGTTTGCAAAAGAGTTAAGCCTGATTTTCAGGGAGAAACATTGGATGATTTACTTTCCATTGATCACTTTGTGTGTGTGTGTGTGTGTGTGTGTGTGTATATATATATATATATATTTTTTTTTTTTAATGCAGGGGTTTGTGTTTTTGTTGTTAAAATTTGTTAGTGCTTTCTGTATCTTCACCCCCAGACTGGGAAAATTCTTGGCTATAATTTAGTCAATCAATTATTCTTTGACTTGTTGTTTTTTGTTTTGAGGCCATATCTGGCAATGCTCAGGGGACCATATGGGATGCTGGGACTGAACTGGGGCTTACTCCTGGCTCTGAACTCAGGAATCACTCCTGGTGGTATGTGGGGGACTGTGGGGGACGCTGAGAATAGAGCCTGGGTCAGCTGCATCTCTGGCAAATACTGTACTATCACTCTGGCCCTCAATCAGTAATTCCTATCCTTTTCCTCCTCTTCCCTGGATTTCTTTGATGTGAATATTGTTCCTCCTATATTCCTCCCAGAGATTGCTTTTGTTTTTTTACTATTCCTTCTTTTCTGTTTCAAAGAGGTCATGCGCCTTTCCTCAAGCATGCTCATCTGTTCCTTGATCACTTGTTCTGCTCTGAGCCTCTCTGTTGTGTGCTTTATTTAACCTGCTTTGCTTTTCAGTTAAGTGATTTTCTCACAGAAGTTTCTTATCTGTTCTCTTTTTTTTTTTCTTTTTTGGGTCACACCCAGCGATAATCAGTGGTTTCTCCTAGCTTTGCACTCATGAGTTACTCCTGGTGGTGCTTGGGAGACTATATGGGATACTGGGGATCAAACCCGGGTCGACCGCGTGCAAGGCAAACGTCCTTCCCACTGTACTATCACTCTGGCCCTCTGCTCTCTTTTCTTGTGGGAACACTCAATTACTGTCATCAGTTCAGTGAGCATCCTTACCATTGTCACTTTGAAGTTTTTATCGGGGGTGTTTAGAGACTTCTTGTGGATATTTGCGGGCTTTTTGTCTTCATCCAGGATTGCAGGTAAATTCCTTTGTCTTCACTGTATCTGATGTAGTGTGGGGGCTAAGGATGAGAGTCTCATTCTGTGCAGGATGGATGGCAGTGAAAGTTCGTGTATATTAATTCAATCCAGAGAGAGTGGAACCGAGTCTGGACTGCCCCCAGGAATTCAGTCATGAGCTCTATCCCTAGGGAAGGACAAGCCAGTGCTGCCTCCCAGAAGTTGCAGTTGCTGGTTTCAGTGTCCTACAAATTTGGCAGTTGGGGCTTGTGGTCAGGAGTGCCTGGTGGTAACTGAGAGCAGACCAGGTAACCACTAGGGTTTTTGCATCTGCCTTCACCTGGCAACTTGCCAGGCTGAAGCCAATCTGGGAAATGACCAGTGGTCAGACCCTAAATTTGATGAGACCTGGGTACTAACTAAGTGTTCTATTCTTCAAAGGTGCACAGCGGCTCGACAGGCTCTGCAGAAACTCTCTTTTCTGAGTCTCAGGATTTATTCACTCCTCAGCTGACACTCTTGTGACCAGAAGGAGGCTACTTTTCTCTCTCCTAGGGCAGGAGCTCACTGCTAACCCACCCACAGCTAGGAAGGGCAGTTTCCCTGTGGGCTCTTTCTTATCTCCAAAGGGACCAGAAATCCCTGCTGGCTTCAGGTCCCTTTAAAGTTAAGGCTCTGGATATGCTGTCCATCTAGTTCTTGCCTCCAGAGTGGGCCCCGGGAGAGTCTTAAATGTCAGGGGTTATGGGCCCTCAGCCACCCCAGGGCAGAACTCCATACCTCTCCAGTTAGCACCCCTCTCCTCCTCCTCTGGGGGTCCTGTTCCTTAGCTCTGCATTTGGCTGCTATTTCCCCTTGTTCTGGTTTAACCCTAAGCTGCTAGAATCATACAGCATCCTGCTATTCAACATTGGGAGGGTCTACACAATAAAAAATAAACAAAAATACATGATCACCTGAAAATTCCCTCAGGGCTGGGGATGCCTTGTATGTAACAGGGCCTGGGTTTGAGCCCCAGAACCACACACCAACAAGACAATATTATAGCAATAACACAGTGGGTAGGGTGTTTGCCTTGCACGTGGTCAACCTGGCCGACCCGGGTTTGATTTCTCTGCCCCTCTTGGAGAGCCGGCAAGCTACCGAGAGTATCTCGCCCGCATAGCAAAGCCTGGCAAGCTACTCGTGACGTATTTGATGTGCCAAACACAGTAATAAGTGTCACAATGGAGACATTACTGGGCCTACTCAAGCAAATCGATGAAAAACGGGAGGACAGTGACAGTGATTATTAGCTTTGGGCCACACCTGGTTCTGTGCTTAGAGGTTACTGTTACTCTAGGAGTTGCTTGGGGGACCATACGAGATGTTGGGGATTGAACCTAGGTTGGGGGCAATCAAGACAAATGCCCTACCTGCTGTATTATCTCTTCCGCCCCCAGAGACAATATTCTAAATGAGAGAAATTCCCTATTCATGCTTCCTTTAAGCCACTCTTGCTTCCAACTATTCTGAAGACCACCACATTCACTAATGACAGGAGAGAAATTCGCTCTCAGAAAGGCAAGTCTTATCTCTCTGGCCTGTAAGAATGAAAGGACATTTAGCAACCAGCTCCCAGATCTCCAGGGATTAACTCTTTAACTCACATGACGTAGTGAGGGGATTGCCATTACCTATGTCCAGCATCTAGGCATTGCAACGTATTTGTGCCACTGTTTTTATCAATACATGTTTGTTGTTTTCCAAATAGTCTCACATAAATCACCTTCTCTAGCCCCCTTTGCTTGCAGTCAGTGACTTGTCCCCTTTTCTAGAATTGGGAGAGCCCGGCAAGCTACTGAGAGTATCTCGCCCGCACGGCAGAGCCTGGCAAGCTCCCCGTGACGTATTCGATATGCCAGACACAGTAACAACAAAGTCTCCAATGGAGACGTTACTGGGCCCGCTTGGTTAGTGCCACACTGAGAAAAGAGTGAGTTTTAGAGGATAAGCTCCTGTTTCACAGGTGCCCAATGAATGTGTGTAGAACTGAGGTGGTATGTAACTGTAACTCTCTTCCTCTAGATGGGTAGAAAAAGTGCGGGTGGGGGGGGGAGAGAGAGGAGAGAAGGAGAGAGAGTGAGGGTAAATTGTTTTAGCCAGGAGGCAGGAGTAAAGGTATACCAAGCAGTGAAGTTTGTAGTGGTTCATTTATTTATTTTGTCCTTGTTGGACCATACACTATACTCTGTGATGTTCTGGGGTAATTCCTGGCTCTGCACTCAGGAATTACTTCTGGCAGTGCTTGGGGGACCATATGAAATGCTGGGGATCAAACTCAGGTTAGCCACCTTCAAGGTAAGTGCCTGAGCCCCTATACTATTAACCCAGCCTCAAGTATGTGGTTTAAACCAGATGTGAGGGAAAGCACCAACTATGCCAAGGGCCTCCAGAAGGTAGCTGGAAGCCCTCTGCCAAATAGGTTAAGTCTAAAGAATTGGAAAGTTAGAACAGTTTCCTCTTAGTTACTCAAGCTCGGTAAGAGCGTATAAAAGAATAATGAATAACTAGGTCTTAACTTTCTAGAAAGTAGAAAGATCAAGTAAACAACAACATGCCTCTCCAATAGGCGAGGCTGAATGTCTTAAGTGTGGAGAAAACTTCCAGACGTCTTCTTTAAGTACGTTTTTGGCGTTTGGGTCTATAGGCAATCAAGAGAGAGAGAGATGCTATTCCAAAGAGGAAAGTCTGTAGGAACCACAGGAACTGAGCTCGGACATTGGTGATGCCTTTAGCCCTAAAAAGAAAAGACAAGAACATTTTCAGCACCAAAATGTTAATGTCCCAATTTCGCGAGAGTATTCTGGGAGGTGGTGGGGGTGGTGGAGGAGTAGGCTGGGAGCACTCAGGATGCCAAGGGGCAATTCCTAGATTCTTGGCCAATTGGGCCAGATGCTTGCAGTTGGGTATTATAAAACTATCTTCCAAGATTCTGAGAATCAGAGTCAAAGGCATTCGATGGTTGGACCAGGGAGATAGATAGCTCAAAGGGCCTAGGAACATGTTTTGCATATAGCCCCCCATGTCCGATTCCTACCTTTGCAAGGTCTCAAAACCCAAAGGAGGGGCTGGAGCAATAGCACAGTGAGTAGGGCGTTTGCCTTGCACAGGTTTGATTCCCAGAATCCCATATGGTTCCTGAGCACCACCAGGAGTAATTCCTGAGAGCATGAACCAGGAGTAATTCCTGTGCATCGCTGGGTGTGACCTCCCCCACCAAAAAATGACAAAAACAAAAAAAAAAACCCAAAAACAAAAATAAACAAAAACAAACCAAAGGAAAGAATTAAAGCTTTCTTGAGGTTTGAAAGAAAGTGTTTGTTTTTGCTTTGGGGGAGGTCACACCTGGCTGTGCTCAGGACTTACCTGCTAGCTCTGCATTCAGGATGCTGTGGCTCAAACCTAGGTTGGCTACATGCAAGGCAAGTGCTCTATCTGCTGTACTATCTTTCCAGGCCTACAGAAAGCATTATGAAGGTAGATCTGATATGAGTCCTAGCTTGGCTAGCTACCAGAGGTGACCTTGGGCGATCATTCTCAGAATCAGTTTCTTTATCTGTAAAATAGAACTTTTGTAGCATTTACTTCACCCAGTTTTGATACGACTTTGAGAGAACACATACAAAGCATTGAGTAGGGGGGTCTGACCCTCAATACTAGTGAATGCCTGATATAACATACTTCGTACGAAACTGCTTAAAACAAAGCACAAAAGAAAATGACCCAGCTGAAATAAATGGTTTGCTACAGACTCATCACAGCATGTAAGTCTCCTGTGGATGAATCTGAATTTATAACAACATATAAACATGTCATAATTTTCCACAGTAATAGATTAAAGGAGAAAAATCAAAAGATCATCTTAGTAAGCATATAAGGAGCATTTGACACATTTTGACATCTGTCATAAATACCAGTTTTCAGGAAAGTTAGAACATATCTATAGAACATCTGATAGAAGTCTATAAATTTTATTATTTTTATTTTATTTTATTTTATTTTTGCTTTTTGGGTCACACCCGGCGATGCATGGGGGTTACTCCTGGCTCTTCACTCAGGAATCACTCCTGGCGGTGTCTGGGGGACCATATGGGATGCTGGGAATCGAACCTGGGTCAGCTGCGTGCAAGGCAAACGCCCTACCCGCTGTGCTATCACTCCAGCCCCAGAAGTCTATAAATTTTAGAAAAAAAATTGATGCAAAATATTGAAGGCTTCCCTTAGATGAGGAACAAAGCAGGAGGGACACATCATCACTTCTGGTCAGCACTCACCCAGAGGGCAGAGGACATGGCTCAGTGGTAGAAAATGCCCTGGTTCAATACCCAGCATAGCACTGCAGCACTGTCATCCCGTTGTTCATCAATTTGCTTGAGCGGGCACCAGTAATGTCTCCATTGTGAGACTTGTTGTTACTGTTTTTGGCATATCGAATACGCCATGGGTAGCTTGCCAGGCTTTGCCATGTGGGTGGGATACTCTCGGTAGCTTGCCGGGCTCTCCAAGAGGGGCAGAGGAATCGAACCCGGGCAGCCCTTGGCTGCGTGCAAGGGCAATGCCCTACCCGCTGTGCTATCACTCCAGCCCAATACCCAGCATAACAAAAATAAAAATAAAACAACAACCCACTGCATTGGAGATGTTAGCCAGTACATCTGGGAGGAAAAATAACAGTTTCTATTCCTCGATACAGTTATATATCTAGAAAATATTTTCTTTTTAATCTATAGAAACCAGAAAGATAGTACAGCAGATGGGCACTTGCCCTACACATTCCCTGGTTTGATCTATGGCACCCTACATGGTCCCTCGAGCCTGCCAGAAGCGACTCCTGAGCAGAGAGCCAGGACTAAGCCCTGGGCACAGCTGGGTGGGGCCCCAAAGCAAAATAAAAATGTAAAAATCCTACAGATTAACTATTAACAATTGATTAAGGGGTTTAGCACTAAGGGCAATAGATAAAAACTCTATTCATACATTTTATTAACAATAAAAAGGGAAACTTATAATAGTATTTGAAAATAGAAGCAGCTGGAAGTATCATGATGATATATAAGGTCTCTTAAGATTATACTGGAGACCTATAAAATAGAACTTGGTCATCTTATTGATTTGAAAAACTCAGTATTGGAGATTCTCACAAAGTAAATTGAATCCAGTAAAAGCCTCAAACAGGCGTATACATTAATCTATCTAACTTTTGTCCTTATCTATCCATCTCTGTATTCGGGACAATGCACGAGGCTGTGCAAGGACCAGCAATGGGGAAATCTCTTGAACCACGTGAGACAACAAATTCTGTCAGGTCCCAGTGACTGTGAAGCCAATTCTACCCAATGCTGTATTCAGAGCAACAATGAGCAGGTGGTCCACCGGCTCGACACAGTGTTCAAAAACCCACTCACATACATCCGTGTAATAGAACATGGAGCATTAATGAGGAGTGAAAGTGTGTGAGCACCACAGCCAGGTGTATACGTATGCAATTCCCCCCACCCCCACTATAAAGGCAGCAGAACAACAATAGGGATGGGAGGGCGGAGAAGGGAATAAGATCCAGGGACCAAGGTCAACAATTAAATCCCAACTTGAAGGCAGCCGGCTCCCACACTTTTGTTTTCTTTGGGGGTTATCCGGTGAATTGGAAAACAATACAAATTATTTCAATAAAGTAAGTAATCAACAGAAGTGAAACAAATTGAATTCTCTCCTGAAATAGTTACGGAGAGTTCCCTCTCTCTGGGTTAGGCTCAGCCTTCGCCACAGGGCTTCAACTCTAACCTGGTGCTCTCAGCCTACACCTGCATCAATTATTTAAATGTCATTACTCTTAACTTCTACTTGATACTGAAAGAAGAGCGAAAGGCCTCTCACAAACACCTACTTGCACAAGACCAAGGCATACAAGGACTCTCCCACGTGAATCAGCCAGGCAAGCCAAAACCTGAAACAAAATTCAGCCAAGTTTAGTTGATGCTTAAGTGCCGCTGAACTGTAACCCAGAAAGCTTTTGGAAACGGTCCCTTCACCTGAACCGCGTGGATATTTAAAAACTCCGTGGGTCGTCTGGGTCAGCTCTCCTTACCCATTGCGCAGGAGAGTGAGATGATGGTCCACCAGGTGCTGAGTGAAGGGGCCCAGGGGTCCTAGGCTCTGGTAAGGGATGCTCTGCGGCCAGAAGACAACCCACTGCAAGGGAAGCAGAGCCAGAGAACACCTATTAGGTCACTGCAATCAGCCAGCCTCTGTTTCTGAGAGGGGCTCGGAAAACCTGATTCCACGAGAACAAGAACTGACCAAAGAAACTCCAAGTCCTCTGGGCTGCTTCTCTCCAGCCCATTCTCGGAGACCGACAGTGGGAAACGGGCAGGTTAACAGACTCAGTGCTGCTTTTTTAAATCTTTAGTTATTTATTTTTTCGCTTTTTGGGTCACACCCGGCGATGCTCAGGGGTTACTCCTGGCTTTGTACTCAGGAATCACTCCTGGCAGTGCTCGGGGGACCATATGGGATGCTGGGAATCGAACTCAGGTTGGCCGCATGTAAGGCAAACGCCCTGCCCGCTGTGCTATTGCTCCAGCCCCAATCTTTAGTTATTTCAAGTCCAGGGATTCTATAGGTACCAGTGGGGCCCTACCCTTGGTTGCAGTGCTCACAATGGTACTGAGGAAGGTGGCACTCGGTCACGGGGGGAGCGGGGGTCAGAAGGGGTGGGCTCTACCACTGAGCTACATCTCAGGGCCTAAATCACTGATTTTTATTTTATTTTATTAGTGAAACACCATGAGGTACAGTTATAGACTTACGATTTTTATTTTATTTTTAGGGGCAGGATTTGGAACACGCCCAGTCGTTGTGTGGTTTAGGGGACCATTTGGGGTGCTGAGATTTGAACCTGGGTCAGCTGCATGCAAGACAAACGCCTTATTCTGAAATCATCTCTTTGGCCCCAAATTACTCCCCTCCCACAAAGATTTGTTTGTTAAAGCACCACGAATTACAAAGTTATTCCCAGTTGGGTTTCTGACATACAGTGTTCCATCACTGATCCCACCACCAGCGTCAACTTCCCTCCGCCAGTGTTCCCAGGTTCCCTCTCCTCACCCCAAACCCAGCCCCAAGCCTGCCATCTTGACAGGCAGCTTTTAAGTCTGGTTATTCAAATTTGGGTCTCACGATTTCAGTGTTGTTGACTCAGTGGTTTAGACAAGCTGAATTCAACAGAGTTAAGCCGTCATTCCTTAACACCACCCTGTATCTGAATCCCCTTGACCCCTGCCCTGTTGCTTCTCATCCATCTCTTCTCCCCTTCCCCTTCACTCTATTTCTTTCCATCTCCTCCCTACAAGTAGCTTCTCAATAACTTCCACAAAGCATTATTGCATAGAGGTTATTACAAACCCTAGGAGTGTAAGTGTCCTTGCTAGCTTCTTTACTATAAAGATTATAATGGATTTCTTTAAGCACCCTTTACTCTTCTTTCATTTTTTTTTAAATACCTCTAAAAGTGGTAACCATGGCCCATACCACCTGGAAAATAAGTCCTATCGATTACAAGAAGTACTAATAACCCACGCAATCACGCAGGGCCTTTGCAAGCTTTTCCCAGTCACTCCGTTTTAACTGCCACCGATGGGAGAAGGTGCCACAGTGCCAACAGTTCCAAACTGTCCTGTCCCATACAAACCTGAGCCAAGGGCCTCCAAACGCCTCCTCCAGCCCTTGGATCTCAGGATTGACTCGGATCAGATCTGCGAGCAGACCTACTGCAAGACCCCCCCACCCTTCCCCTCCCCCCCACCGCCCAGCACCAGTGTCCCAGCACCAGTCCCCGCATCCGAAGCCTCCTGGAGAGCGTCCCCGCACCCAGAGAAGTCACAGCCTCGGGGAGGCCGGGACAAAGCGATCTCCCGCCTCCTGGCCCGCACAGCCGGCGCAGGGACGGCGTACACTGCCCTGGGCAGCCTGCGCGCATCCCAACACCGGCAGGGCCTGGAGGCGCCCACAAGCCACGCGAGCTCCGTCCCCTGCCCAGGGGGCGTCTTTCCATGTCCCCACTCGCCGCGAACAGGATCCGAGGTGGGGCGCAGAGTTCCCGGGGCGATCCGTGTGGATTCCACGTCCCTACTGTAGACTAGGACACCTCTGTTCCCACCCCCACCCCGCCCCCACCCCGTCGCAAGAACGTCCCGGAACGCTCCGCTCTGGAAGCCCCCCCAGCGTGGACAGCCACGCCCGGACCTGTCATCAGAGCGCGGCGCAGACCCGGCCCGCGCGCGCGGGGACCCGGAGAGGGCGGAGCGGACGCCGCGGGACGAGCCCCCCGCAATGCTCGGGGCGCAGGCCCCGGGTCCCCCGGGCCGCCCCGCCCCGTCCAGCCTTACCGCGACAGCGCCCAGCGCCAGGACCGTGACCAGGGAGGCCAAGGGTCTGGCCCTGCGGAAATAGGCGGCGGCGTTGCGGCCGGCCTCCGACTTGGCCACCATGTCTCGAGCTGCAGGCCCCGAGCCGTGGGCAGCAGGCGAGGCGGCCCGGACCTCCCACCCCGAGACCCGAGACCGATCGAGCCCGGGGAGCCGGTTTCTCCGGACGCGCAGCAACCCCGCTGCAGGCGCGGGCAGAGCGCGCCGACGCCGAGTCCCCGCAGCCGCGCCCGGGCTGCGCCTGCGCCAACGGTCCCCGCGGGCGGGTGCGAGCGGCCCTGACCGTGTAGTAGCCGAAGGAGAGGGTGATGACGGTGCACCAGAAGAGACTGCTTCTCTGGAAGAAGGACTCGTCGCCTCCTGCCACCTTGCCCATCGCTGCGCCCTCTGTCCCGCTGCCCCGCTGCCCCGCGCGCCTGCTGGACGCGGCCCTCCACGGGCCAGGGGCGGGGCCTGAGTGCCCGCCCCTGCCCTGCTCCGGCTGCCGAGCTGCGAAGAGTCTTAAAGGTTCTGGAACTGCAGAGCGAGACTTTTTTTTTTTTTTATTTCCTCCACTGTAAAAAATCGTTGTGGGGCGGCCAGGGGAAGGCCCCAAGGGCTCTTCCCCTAGCTGGCTGCGTTTGGGGTGCCTCGGCCGCTCACCCAGCCGGAGGCCTGGGCCATGGGGAGACGGTGGAGGAGCGGAGGGCCAAGCAAGTTGATTGATCAGTTGCCATTTATTCCATTCTCACCCCAAGCGTGCCCCAGTCTCTCTGAGCCCCCCATTCTAATCTCACATTGCTCCTCATTCCCGTCTCCTCTGTCTCTCCCGCTCATCACTCCCTGCTCCATCTCACAGCCTGGGCTCTCTCTCTTCACGTGCCTGCTCCTGTATTCTTCTTCTACATTCTTCTCTCTGTCCCCCTTGCTAGCCTCTCCCCGGTCCATCTTGCCACCCTGTTCTCTCCTCTCTCTCTCCCCAGCTCTCTTGCCTCTTCAACTCCTCAGCACTCTGGGCTGCTGCTGCACCCAGTCAGGTAGCAAAATCAACATATGAAAGCCCTTCCTAGGGCTGGAGCAATAGCACAGCGGGTAGGGAGTTTGCCTTGTGACCGACCGGTTCAATTCCCAGCATCCCATATGGTCCCCTGAGCGCAGAGTCAGGAGTAACCCCTGTGCATCTTCAGGTGTGACCCCAAAACAAAACAAAACAAAAAACAAAAAAAAAGTCATTCCTGAGGGCCCCCCTAAAAGGTATTCTAAAGCCCTTCCTGACTGCCGAAGGGCAAAATACCTCCGAAGGTGTTTTTCTCTTTTCCTCAGTCCAATAACTATCAACATATCAATACTAGCTATTTTTTTATGGACACAGTAAGAGATAATATTGAGACTGGTAGGGCAGCTCTCCTGGGGACATCTTGCCACAGACTTAGACTACAGCACTCAGGCCAGATTAATCTTTCCTAACCCTAGCAGGGTCCAAATCGAGTTATTACTTTTTGGATCATGACAGGATTTGTCCATGACTAAGCTCTTAACTTATAGTTAAGCATTATGGCACTTTGGCCAGGCCCATCTTGATAACACATAGCTTACCGCTTGCCCTGGTTCCATCCAGTCCCTTGTCCTTGGGACCCTGCTTTTGGGGGCACTAGGAAGTAAAGGCAGCTGAGGCTTAGATGAGAGAACAGATGCCCAGGAGGGAAATATTACTGAGAGTCACATTACAAAAGCATGTCTTCTTGTGTCCATACAAAAAGGACATTGCTCTGAATAAACTATGCAAAGGATTTAGGGAGAAGAGAAAAACAATATTTACAAGTCAACAGAGCACAAAGAAAGAAGTTATAAATAAACACAGAGGAATGGGAGCACTGTGATGGGAGCAACCTAATAAACAAAAACTACCTGAAGCTATGCAGGAAGGACAAAACAGTGTTATCTTACACCCCCCTAATTTTATTTTATTTTTATTAAGTTGTTCACAATGATTTATTACATTCAATACTCCAGCACCGCCACCCTTACACCTTCCCATCACCATTATTTTGAATTTTCCCACCACCACCCAAGCCTGCCCCAAAAACAGATCTAAATAATTTCTTTTGTATTGCTTGTTCTGAATAATCTGCTAAAAAAGGATCCAAAAGAGTTTCGGTGGAGGCAAAGTGTGCGAAGATTGCTGTATCTCTCCCTGGAGCCATTAAGCCCTTATGTAAGAGATTACTAACAAGTTGACACAAGTTGAGACTTGTGTGCTAATTTTATTTTATTTATTTTTTTGATCCAGAGCAATTGCATTCTACCTTACATTCCATCAAATGTGGTGTACTACCCTTGGCACATCAGTGGAGTAGAGTATGAGATGTCCCGTGGCACCGACTGTGGCCTTGCCCTCCAGAAATTATAAAATTTTAAATAGGTTGAGACAATTGGAGGTGATTTTGGGGTCCAAAGGCATCTCTGCAGCTTGTGGCTTATAGAGCAAGTCTTATTTGCTTCAGGCAAATATAAAGAAATGTGAACTTTAGACTGTAGATAAGCAAAAAAAAAAACTATTCTATTGACAGACTTTTGGGCTTAGATTCCATCTCTCTGGTGTAAGAACGCCTCAACCTTTCCATTTCAGCGAGAGGACTTTCTCACATAGGAAATTTGTTTCTTGCCTTCTTCTTCTTCTTCTTCTTCTTCTTCTTCTTCTTCTTCTTCTTCTTCTTCTTCTTCTTCTTCTTCTTCTTTTTAAATTTTACTGAATCACCGTGAGATATTTACAAGAGTTTATGTTTGGGTTACAATCACGCAATTATCAAACATCCATCCCTCCACCAATGCACATTCCCCACCACCAATGTCCCCGGTATACGCCCCCTTTCCCCCTTCCCCCCTCCCCCCCCCCATGGCAGACAATATTCCCCATACTCTCTCTCTATTTTTATACTCTCTACTTTCAGCTCCACATTTTATTTATTTATTTATGCATCTGCATTATGGTTTGCAATGCAGATACTGAGAAGTTATTATGTTTGGTCCATTATCTACTTTCAGCACATATCTCCCATCCCGACTGCTTCCTCAAGCCATCGTTTTCTTAGTGATCCCTTCTCTATTCCAGCTGCTTTCTCCCCTTTGCTCATGAGGCAGGCTTCCTGCTATGGAGCAATCTTCCTGTTCCATGTATCTACTATCCTTAGGTGTCAGTCTCATGTTATGTTGTTTTATACTCCACAAGTGAGTGCAGTCCTTCTGTGTCTGTCCCTCTCTTTCTGACTCATTTCACTTAGCATGATATTCTCTATGTCTATCCTTTTATAAGCAAAGTTCATGACTTCATCTCTCCTAACAGCTGCATAGTATTCCATTGTGTAGATGTACCAAAGTTTCTTTAACCAGTCGTCTGTTCTAGGATGCTTGGGTTGTTTCCAGATTTTGGCTGTTGTGAACAGTTCTGCAATGAACATATAGGTGCAGATGTCATTTCTACTGTGCTTTTTTGCATCCTCAGGATATATTCCCAGAAGTGGTATTGCAGGGTCATATGGAAGCTCAATTTCTAGTTTTTGAAGGACCGTCCATATTGTTTTCCAGAAAGAGCAGACTAGTGGGCATTCCCACCAACAGTGAAAGAGCGTCCCTTTTCCCCCACATCCACGCCAGCACTAGTTGCTTTTGTTCTTTTGCTGAAACGTTCCGGGCACTCTATTGTTTCTTGCTTTCAACAAAAACTCATCTTCCCTTCCAGTAAGCCAGTTTCTCTTGTACCAGCTCTTTCTCTCCCTTCCCCCGCTTCCCTTCCACTACAGTTTTGCTGTTGTCTTCACCACTACGACTCGGGGTGCACACATTCCTGGCTGTGGTGCGCACTGGGAGTGGATCACCCATCAGCTCTTGGGGCTCACTGAGCTGTGTTCCGTTAGCTGTAGCTCTTGCACAGTGTCCTCAGAGCTCTCACCCTTGGTTGAAGCACCCAAAATTTTATTTTGTTTTATTTTGGGGGGGTCAAATCTGGCAATGCTCAGGAGTTATTAATGGCTTTGCACTCAGACATCACTCCTGGCAGTGCTGATGGGACCATATGGGATGCCAGGGATCGAATTCGGGTTAGCTGCCTGCAAGGGAAGTGCCCTCCCCACTGTACTATCTCTTCAGCTCCACATTTTATTTATTTATTTATTTAGTTTTGGGTACGCCACGGCAAACTCCCCGTGGCATACCCAATATGCCAAATACCAGTAACAATGAAGGGTCTCATTCTCCTACCCCTGGAAGAGCCTTGAATATGGCACTTTTTAAAATCTCAGGGCTAGGACGAAGGAGATGTTACTGGTGCCTTCTTGAGGCAATCAACAACAACAGGATGATCGTGATCGTGATCGTGATTTAGTATTAATTACAGTTGAGGTAACATGGTTACAGTAGCGTCATTGTTTATGGTTTTGGTGTACGAAGTTACCTCACTATCACCAACGTGCCAAGACTCACTCCCACTGTCCTTTGTCACTTCTAGTCCTTCATCACTTTGTCATTTCACTTCTTCCTCCTTTCCCCATGCTCCTCCCTTTGCCACTTGGTAACCTCAGTTCTGACTTCAAAGTCCAAAGTGTTGTTAAGATATAATACTGATTTCTTGGCTTTGTTGTTTTTACCATACATGGAGAAGATCATCTGGTATTTATACTTCTCCCTTTCACTGATTTCACTTTATATGACCCCTTTAGGCCATTTGTGTTGTAGCAGCAAAAGGGAAGCTTTCATCTTTTGGTATAGCTACATCATGTTCCCTTGTGTACATATACCCCAACTGAGCAATAGTACAGCGGGTAGGGCGTTTGCTTGCACGCGGCCGACACGGCCGACCCGAGTTCGATTCCTCAGCCCCTCTCGGAGAGTCCGGCAAGCTACCGAGAGTATCTCACCCGCACAGCAAAGCTTGGCAAGCTACCTGTGAAGTATTCGATATGCCAAACACAGTCACAAGTCTCACAATGTTACTGGGCCCGCTTGAGCAAATCGATGAACAACGGGAGGACAGTGACAGTGATAAAAATATATCTTTAATTTCTTCTTTTTGGGGTGGGTGGGAGTCATGCCAGGTGATGCTTAGGGCCTGCTCTCGGCTCTGTGCTCTGGGTCACGAAGGTTGCTAGGGAGACTGTACAGTGCCAGGGATTGAACTAGGGTTGGCTGCATGCAAGGGAAGTGCTGTTAGTCCTATACTACCCCTCTGGTCCCACACAACAGCAATGAGTTCTTTATTCATTTATCTATCGGATGCTGGGTGTTTCCAAATCT